ATTTCATCTAATAAGGTATTGTCAATATTTCTGAAAATTGAAATATGCTGATTTTGAATTAATTTGCCTAAAAATGATAATGATGAAGGTACCAGTAAATTTCGAATAAAACAGATTTCATTGAAATCGTTTAATTGGAAAAAAACTTCTGAAACATCATTTACATATATTATGTTACTACAATTCCTCTTTAGTAATTCACATAATGTGCCACACCTCTCAAAATCTCTAAAACATTTCTTTCATAATCCGCAACTACTCTGAAAAGTCTTTCAGCGCAATCCTTATACTTTTTCAGGGCAGGGCTACCTTATTGATCACTCACGTATTGTTCTATTTGCAACGTCCTGATCCTGTGCTTACGCTGAATCATTTCAATAAACTTCTAGATATTAAGGGTGGGGTGTTATCTAAATATTTGCATTTAGAGTCCACGGTGCCACCCTTCAATTGAATTATTTGCCTTTGGAAGACGTGTCCTACTCCTTCATTACAGTTCCACATTTCTAGGGAGAAGCGGGGCATCCTGCGTTCCATGCGTCGTTGAGGACTTCCAATCTAGCAGTCCTCTTCAATCACGCCATGTGCTTCTTCAGACATGTTACAACCCGTTAAATACCTCAAATGCTTCCCCACATCTTCTGTTGGGACAAAGGTCAACGCAGACAACAGTCGCATTTTCATTGCAAATTCGACGTCAGTTTTGTACCTTCTTTGAAGATTTTCTGCCTGAATCCTTCGGAATATACACTGCGAAAAATGGAAGTAACATCCTCGATGTCTAGCCCTTGGAAACTCTTGACGAATAGCACTTACTATGGCAAGTTCGAAATTGGTCATAATTGTTTTTGGGAGGCATCTGGCTGAAGCTGTTTTACTTTTCTTAGTAACCTAACATATGTGGCCTTTGTCTCGTCTGGTACTAGAGCATGCATACAAAAGCGGAATTGAACTCTTCACCTGAATACCATGGAGTATGTAGAGTTGGTAAAACAAATGAGGCACTGTTCAGATGAGGCTAATAACTGGAGATTTCTTGCGGTAGAAAATATAACTACTCTATTTCCCGTCGGCCCTGAATCAAACAGCAAAAGCGGTTCACCTTCTTTAGTCATCTTGTAATCCTAGGGAAATTACAATACAACATAAATACAATTTCCTGTCGGGTCATAGGCAAAGTTGGTGCTTCTTATTTCCTTATTCTAATGTTTCGGATCGTTCTTTTGATACTGTCGGTCTTCGCAATGTCCTGGAGTAGCTTGACTAAGTTTCACAGACGCATTAGATTTAATATACTGAGGTGCTTCTTGTCTATTTATTTCACGATCACGTACAACGTCTTCCATCTTCAAGGCTGCTATATGAGCTGCGTCTCCAATATGGTCGTGAACTCCCTTCACGGCCTCGATGGCTCTCCAACTGTTATTGCCCGAACCCGGCATATTTGTTTCTGATACATCTCACACTTCCAGTATGTCTTGTCAGCTTGTTTTTCTTTGAAAAATAAGTTTCTGTCTTCCCTTTTCACTCGTGACGAACTGGGCCATGATGGTTAACGAAAATTCGTAATTTAAGTGTCACACTCGAAGAACTTTTTGAAATTGACCACTTTGAATTTTCTGAGAATTTATATGGGAGTGAACCATGGTAATTATTGTACTCTTTCAAATATGCTATTTCTAAATGATGCTGTCTTAATTTTTAGTAGATGCCTATATTTTTATATCGCAATAATAAATTTTAATAAATAAATCATAAACGATCAATTGTACAATCAGTGAATTTTCCTTTCGACGAATGTGGCAAATTTACAGGCCAGTGAATTTTCCAGTCGGTAAATTGCAGTCTGTGAACTTTCCGGATACCATCGCAGCTGTGATTTCCTAATGTGAAGAATAAGTGGTCGTAAGCCAGGGTTTTCTCAGATATCTGAATTCCGGACAATGTTGAGATGCTTGAGCCCAGTGATTCGTCTCAAAAAGCCAATTTCAGCCGCTTGTACCGGA